CTCTCTCTCTCTCTCTCTCTCTCTCTCTCTATCTCTCTCTCTCTCTCGATCTCTTGCACTCCCTTGCCCTCTCTCTCTCTCTATCTCTCTCTCTCTCTCTCTCTCTCTCTCTCTCTCTTGCACCTCTAGGGTTGTCATGCGTTCTCGCTGGGGAGGTCCTCTCTCGGTGGCGAGTTCCGGCCGGTCGGCGGCTAGACTTCTTGGGATGGTAGGGGGTGACCAACGGTCACCCCCTCGTCCTCCTCCTCGGAGTGGGGGCGGAAAAGAGTCGGGTGGAGGGAAAGTTTCGGATGGCAAATCTGGCGCTCGCAATGATGTGAAGGGAGGCTCGGGGGGCAGCTCTACTGGGACTGGTTCGGCGGAAGGTACAGGTGCGGAGGGGGATAAGAGATCTCCTTTGCGTGGGTTAAACAGAGTCAGGGACAACGGGGCAGCTAAAGAGCAGGTTGTGTATGTTCGATCCCCCGTCAGGGGGGGGTTGGGGGGGGCGACTAGAATGGAGGTGGCAGGGCCTGCGGGAAATGTTCGAGCCTTGGGCGACAATGCTCGGCTGGGGACTGGAGCTGCGGGGCGTATGCCGGCTGGTGAGGGGGAACCCAAGTCTGCTGGTAAGGCTTTGGCGGACCTAACTGTTGACAGTAGGTGTGGATCCAGCAGTTTGGTGGGGGCTGGGTCGCATATGGAGCTGGATGGCCTGGATCTGACCCCTCAGGCGATCAAAGATCGTGGGGACGGAATGGAGTTTATGGGGAGCGATGAGGTGGTGGAATTTTTGAAGGAGGTCCAGGGCAACATTGGTGTGACTCCTTTGGTAGCTGCTGCAAGTCTCCCGACCGTGGAGGTTAAGTCAAAGAAGGATGGTGCATCGAACAGCAAGGTGTTTGATTTGTAAAGGCCATTATTCCAATTTGGAAGTATGAGTCGAATACAGGATCTGGATAGATCACCGGTGGCGGTGGATTCTTCACGAGTTTTGTAGCGCAATGATCTTACTGTTGCTAGTGACGCGATGCGTAACACCATCAATCCCGCTGCTATGATAGTTGATAGGGGTGAACCTCCTAAAATCGTTGGTGGTGAGACTTCTGGGATAAAATCCTGCCCCCAGGTGTTCGAAGAAATGCCAATACTGGAATTTTGGGGTCAAAACAGGAAGCGGGCATTGGGAATGCTTCGGCTGGTTCGGTCCTTGGTGCAAGGCCGAATCAGAATGCTTGGAAGAAGCCAGAGCCGGTGGCTCTAAAGTTGGAGGTGGATGCCTCAACTGTGTTAGGGGCGGATGGGATGGTTTCGTTGAACCTGGACAAAGCTAGAGGAAATATCCAAAAGCTTGAGAGAGCCCTGGTGGGGTGCCTCCTTGGGCGGAGAGTGCCCTTCTGGGTGGTGCAAAGTGAACTTCAAAGGAAGTGGGGGCATTTGGGCCTCACCCGCATTACGCCGATGGGAGCAGACTGCTTTTTGTGGTGGTTTGAGGATGCCAGTGCACGGGACAAAGTTATGATTGGGGGCCCTTGGTTCGTGGCAGGCCAAATTATTAGCGTGGAGCAATGGGCTGTTGGATCAATGTCGAATTCGCCAAGGAAGTTCACTTCCCTGGTTTGGATACGGCTTCCCAATCTGCCATTGGCCTATTGGGACGCCGAAAATCTGGCCCGGCTTGCCACTGGGATTGGGGAACCTCTTTTCATGGACGAACCAACCAATTCATGGAATAGATGCGCCTTCGCACGTATCTGCGTTCGGTTGGATTTATCGAAGAAGTTACCCAAGGGAGTGTGGGCTCATGGGTTGGGAGGCTCGTTTTTCCAACCTATCGAGTATGAGGGTATTCCTCTGATTTGTTTAAACTGTGGGAAGGTCGGCCACAAGGAGGAGGTATGCAAGGAATCCAGAGATATGGGTAAGGTACAACCACCACCATCTACTACGATGGAGTCTGTTCCTCCTGGGCCAAATAAGGATATGGAGGTGGACCGTGTTGAGCTCGGTGAAATAAGTTTGAAGGCGGCTTCGGCGGAACGATCGCCCGGGTTGGTGAATGATGAGCAAGGCGAGTGGACTATTGTTAGTAGAAGAAGGAGACCCAAGCCAGCAAAAAATGGTGTGAATTTGACGGAACAGAGGATTGCTCAGCCCGGAACAACAAGGAGAAACTCCAATAATCTGGCCTGGAAGGCTGTTGGTAAGGGGGGTGTACATATGGGGGCTGGTGGAGGAACCGGTTCGGGTAGTGTGAATATGATCAAGAATGTAAGGAATGCTGGAAGTATGGATCAGGGTCCAAGTATCAACGAGAAGGAACCAGTACTGGTTGGGGGGAGCAGTGGTTCGTCTGATCATATGGTTAACTCGCTTATGATGGATATAACTTGTGATGAACCTACCATAGGTCTCGAGACCCTTGGGGTGCCTCTACAAGCTGGGACTGGCGTCCCGAATGTGTGCTCTCTGGACGGTATGGTGACGGAGTGCGTGGGGAATATCCCTCAAATGGCTCCCCTTCCGAATGGGACAGTTGACAGCGGCGAATCTAGGTTGGTGGAGAGTTGCTCGATGCTTGGGTCTACACAATTGCACGGCACACGGTGAAGGAAACGTGGTGAGGCTGCGGCTTCCCCTGCTCAGAAATTGACCCCAAGGGTGTTGCGTTTCTCTGGAACGAAGTCTGATGTCCATAAGGTGAAAAACGCTAACACTAGAGGTGCCAAAGAAAGACGGTTGGAAGAATTGGGGTGCATTGGTCCCCTTCAGAAGCTGCCTGGTGTCCGTAGGAACAGGAATTCACGGGGAGGGGGTACTCCTGTACAACTTGAGCTCAACATAACCATCAGGGATTGCTCCACGGGTGGCCGGATGGATGAGGAGTTCACGGGTCAATGGAAGGAGGTCTTCTCGGATGTTTTTAGCTGCGGGGACGCTTCCCCTTTGGTGGATAATGTTTAACATCCTCTGTTGGAATTGCAGAGGTGCGCGTAAGAAGGAGACCGGGAATTTCTTGCGGCACCTCATTGGGGAGCATAACATCAGCATCATTGGTCTAGTTGAGACCAAAATGGAAACTTTCTCTCGTGCGGATGTGGACAAGCTTGCGGGGAGGCACTGGGACTTTTGCTTTCAGCCTTCAGTGGGCAGGGCTGGGGGCATTCTTGTTCTTTGGCTTGGGTCGGTTGGCACCTTTACTGTCGCCTTTCAAACAAACCAATGTATTATGGGGAGTTTTAGGTGGACGCGCTCTCCGTCTTGGGAGCTTGCGGTGGTATACGGTGATAAGGACAGATATACTAGGCAACGGATATGGGAGGACATTTCGCAGCATCACATTGCTAACGCCCCTTTGGTGGTGGGAGGGGACTTCAATTGCATTATGGCACAGTGTGAGAAGAAGGGGGGTAGACCCTTTGTTTTCAACCCTTTGGCTGGTGACATGGGAGACTTCATGAATGCGAACGGCTTGGTGGACCCTGGTTTCTCGGGGCCTACCTTCACTTGGACCAACAATAAGGATGCCGGAAGTCTGATTTACTCGCGATTGGATCGGTTTCTGATCAGCTCATCCATTCTGGATGAATTTCAGGGTTTGAAGGTTAAGCACCTTTCTAGGCTTACTTCTAACCATTGTCCCATTCTCTGCTCGGTTCAGGATGGCGAGAGGAGGACTTATTCCTCTTGGATCCGGTTTGAGGATGTTTGGGCCAGCTATCCGAGGGCATGGCATTTGGTTTCGGAGAAGTGGAAGGTACATGATTCTGGCTCGAAAGCGAAGATCCTGCAGAGAAAGTGCCAGAGAACTTTGAAGGTGTTATTCTTTTGGAGTAGAAACAAAATCAAAATGTTGAACCA